TCATTTTCGCCCGAGTGTCTCCGTTTATTCAGCCTGCCATGTTCCCGGCATTATTGCTTCAGTAATTTAAACCTTATTCACAACACACTTTATTATATATTACAATAATATTATAAGGATTTCTTTATGTACCTGGTTGTAGCAGAGAGTAGAAAAAGTGATTGTTTACTGATGACTACATGGGACTGTATAGTAAACTTCACTGCGTGCGCATCGTGTTTGAAATATTTTTATTTGTGGTTAAAACAGTAAATAAGTCGATGTACAGCCTATCAGCGACATTTAAGTGTGGGAGAGCTTCGGCACGAATGGGCCAGCTCGACCGGAGTGATACCACGGCCTCACAGAAAACTGACGTGAAGCAACGCTTGCATTGCGTTTCGTCGTGTGAATGAGGTTACCGGAGGCCCAATTACCCTCTCCTTCCCCAATCTCCCCAATTCCTGAATCCCCAACGATCCTCAAACTCCTGGTCCCCAAAAGGCCGGTAACGCACTTGTAACGCCTCTGGCGTTCCAGGTGTCCATGGGCGACGCCGATTGCTTACCATCAGGTGATCCGTCTGCTCGTTTACCGGCTTATGCCATTAAAAAATCACGTCTAGCAAATGAGATTTTTTCTGTGAGAAGTTCTTTTATACATCCCTTAGCTTATGCCAGTGGCTTCGCCCGAGTTCCAGTGCTATAGACAAACAGTGAAAGAAAACATCGTGAGGAAACCTGGGCTTACAATTTCTAATTACGAGTTTAAAATCGCCAACCCGCACTGAGCAAGCGTGGTGGTAAATGCTCAATAAACCTTCTCCGTGTGAGAAGAGGCTTTGCTCAGCAGTGGGCCTATATAGGCTGTTGAGTTCCGGAGATTAGCGCATTTACACATAAGCAAATAAACTCTTCAGCTTTGTATATTGAAAGTATAAGATATGAAGTATTGGAGTCTCTATGTATATCAGATTAAAAATTTAAATTAAAAAAATGGTTGCCTGTAAAGTCGTTTTTACGGGCGAAGATTTTACGTAACAACGTCTTTTTCTCGGTAGAATATTTATTGATATGAATATAATTAAATTGCACAATAGGAACAAGGAATTGAATGAACTAGTGCTGCGCGCGCGGCAGACCGATCATAGTTGAGTGGGAGAGAGACTCAAGGCATTCGGCGGGCCTCTCTCTCGTTCGGTGACTCATCGTAACGTTACCGAGCGTTACACTTTTTCATAAGTGACTCCCAGCCGCAACCTAATTTAAGACGTTGTCACGTCAAAATAATATTTATTTATTGACATACACAAGTTAGATTATGTGCAGACATGGAAGCTAACAGTATTCACATAAACGCAAATACGGCAGAGGTTCCCGTGGGTTCCAAACTAGGCACAACTTGTATCTTGGTGTCCCAGTGGTAAAGGTTTAGACTAGTTAATTCTCGCGTCATGGTTGTGACACAGTGTAACCATATGACATAAAATAACAGAAAAAAAGATATATACGAAGTGTAGTTTTAAAACCGTGGCATTTCTCGGGGGCATGTCACAGAAGTCATAAAAGTTCAATGTAAGTCAAAGTTTCGGGTCAATAGTCAAAAATACGGCTATAATAAATCGTTTAAGTTTGACAGTATTTCAGAATAAGCGACAGCAATATTTCTTATAGGAGTTTTATGGAATTAGGAATAATATTAATTACGTGTTTGAGTTTGTGTGTATTAAGCCGCGTTATAAAACTAGTTACAAGACGGCGGCGTGTAGTTCGCACTTACGGATTTCCGTAAATTACAGAAAAATGTAAAATATTTACCTACAATTTTTTTTATTGATTCGAACTCAGAATCGATAGCCGAATTACCTTCTAGAAAATGACGCGGCTTTAAAACAACACCTTGTATTTTACTCTGTCACAAAAAGCTACATCACGGAACATCCTACCACGTTCCATAAAAATGTATTATTAACGGTTTACATAGAAGAACATTGTCAAAGCAGTTCCCAACAAAAGTTTGAACATAACGCACATCATTTTATCACCTTATATTTGTGGGTACACATCATAGAAACTTCGTATTACTTGCGAAAACTTTTCTTTGTATTTATGGTAATAGCAAGAATGGTGTTCCGGGTCGGAGTGTGATCGTACACGGATTTTTTTTGTCATAGCTTAAGCCGGTAAACTAGTAGACGGATCACCTGGTGGTAAGCAATCGGCGTCGCCCATGGACATCTGAAACACCAGAGGCCTTACAAGTGCGTTACCGGCCTTTTGGGGATAAGAATTTGAGGATTGTAGGAGATTGGGGATAGGGGAGGGTAAGGGTAATTGGGAATTTGGCACACGACGAAACTCAACGCAAGCGGTCGTAAAAGAATATTCTACAGTTGGACAACCTTTCAATATAACTTATAGTTACAAATTCTACGACAGCACTGTTGGTGCGGTGGCTAGGCTACTGGCTGCTGCGCAACGTGTAGCGGGTTCGATTCCCGCACGGAGCAACTCTTTGTGTGGCCCATAAATTGTTGTTTTGCGATTGGGTGTCATGTGTATGTGAACTTGTATGTTTGTAAACGCACCCACGACACAGGAGAAAATCCTAGTTTGGGGCAACGTTAATAAAAAATAAACAGAACATATTGAAAATCCTATTTTTACTATGTATTTTATTTGGTTTTTTTTCTAATATTACCATTTTTAAACATTTCAAAATGTAGTGTTTTTTATTATTAGAATTTAAAACGCTTGTTCTCGGAAAATTGAACTCCTGAATGTGTTCTTGATCTATAAAGTCCAGTACCAGGATTAGTTTAAAGAGTTACTTATTTCAACTAGCAATTTCAATCCTAAATCTGTAGATTGAGTCTCGGTATCTTTATATCCCTTGAGATCAAGTTATGACATTCTTTTTTAAATTTAGCTCATATTTTACAACTTCAGATATAAAGTCTTACTAAGATTATATTCATTCGCTTGAGAGTCTCTTGAAATAGGCAGTTTGACATTGTTTCTTTTTTTGGCGCTCTTTAATAGCAGTTGTATTTAAAGCAGTCTTATTATCTATTTCATTTTTATTTTCAGCCATGATCATGCAAGGCAAAGGCTTCTCTGCAGGGAAAAAGCTTAACATAGAGAGGAGTGGAAGGAGGGTCCTTCCACTCCTCTCTATGTTAAGCTTTTTACACATTCCATGTTTTTTATGGCATAAGCCGGTAAACGAGCGGACGGATCACCTGATGGTAAGCAATCGGCGTCGCCCATGGACACTTGCAACCGTCAAGTCTTCGCACGAGATAGACAATTATTAATTTGGAAATTTGGATTGTTGTAGTGACATAACTACAATAGTTGGACATATGCTACCGCGGAGTTTTTTGTAGACATTATTTTATTTATTTATTTATTTATTTAAAATAATTATGATGTTCTTCAATATTGTTGTACATTATTTTGTTCTATCGCTAATAGTTTCGGCAGCGCATTCGACGAAAGACATTTTAAGACTCATTTTTCTACACCTTCGGTTACATTGTTCAAATTTTACCAAGGATCACTAATTTTTTTCAAAATGAAATGTAGTTTATGTCAAATTGGAAGAATGTATCATTCTATTGGTAAAATAATTTTTTAAATCGGCCCAGTACTTTTTGAGCCTATTCATTACAAACATACAAACATACAAAAATAGGTACAAATCTTCCCTCTTTATAATATAGATTAATTAGTATGTCTTACGAAGGTTTGAATATAAACATAAATTGATCTTTGCTTTTAATGAGGAACTGATAATCGTTGCGTGCGCATAAATCACTTTTAATTAAGATAATAGTATGATAACATATTATTTTTATTTTTCATTCGCACACGATGTGTTGTTATCAAAAATCTGATTAGTATGTGATTTATCTATTTGTGGATATTGTTATATGGAAAAAAGTATGTATGGCCGTAAAATAAAATATTCATGCTGACTGCCTCATTGGCCGAGTGGTCGCAAGTGCGACTGCCCGGGCAAGCGGTCTCGGGTTCGATTCCCGGGTCGGGCAAAGTATTACTGGGCTTTTCAAAAAAAAAACAACACAGTAGTAGCATGGAGTCTGGAATTGTATATGGTATATTGCAATAGGCTCACCCCCTATTACATGGGTCTCATTACATAAATAGTGAAAAGTGGGTTACATTGTTACTTAATTGGGCCTTCGATAACCTCACTCAAACGACAAAACTCAACGCAAGCGTTGTTACACGTCGGTCTTCTGTGAGGCCGTGGTATTCCTCCGGTCGAGCAGGCCCATTCATGCCGAAGCATGGCTCTCCCATACTTACGACTTACACTCTATTATGGACGAGTGCGAATATTACAAACGTCAGAGTAAACAAATATAAGCAGAAAGTTCCGAACTGCTAAGCTATCGGGAGTTATACGTGTTATTGCAAGGCAACCATAAAAGATAGATATATGCTGTTGTAGGATTTTTTTTAGATAATTTTATGTAGAACATTTCCGTCATACATGAATTCTATGTGGCTTTACCCATTAATGCTGCACACGCGACGGAAGCTTCAGAAATGGAGTAACTTCTCTCGTTTTATCAACATTTCTCTTCACTGCTCTGTTCCTATTAATTGTAGCGTGATGAAAAGTATACTATAACCTCCCCAGGAGTATGAAGAATAATACTAAGTTTCGGTAAAATCCGTCAAGCAGTTTTTGTTTCTATAAGGAACATACAAATGGACAGTACCGATGAGACTTTTTCTATTTTATATCTACTTTCTAAGATTATTTAAATACTACTGACAAAAAGTGGAGGAAAACATCGTGAGGTAGCCTGGTTTAATAGTTAGTTGGATAATATAGCGATTTCTTGCTAGCATCGGTGCAGGAACACCTTGGTGGGTATAGCTGCTTGGTACGAGTTTGATATGTCTATAAGGATTCCCAACATGACATTAAAAAAGATTACTTTCAGAATTTCATTTATTATTAATATTATTTAATAATGAGGCAAAACATTAATATTTACAATTGGTATATTTTGGCTTTGATTTAGTTAAAGATTTTGAAATATTGGATGATTACAAACATGAGTGCTACAGAAGTTCCGAGTTGTGACGTGGATGCCGCTCCCGGAGCAGGTGTAGTAGTTGTAGAAGAAGAAGATGTAGAAGAATCAGGTGTAGAAGAAGCAGGTGTAGAAGAAGAGGGTGTAGGAGAGAGAATTTCATTCACCCATGATGCGTATGGGAAGACTCGAGTGAACACTTCTAGGTGGTTTGCATTAGCCCCACAGTTGTTGCTCCTAATGAGTATGCCATCGAGAACCGGAGTGCTTTGTGGGTTGCATACTAATGGGTTTCCTAGATCACCCTGCAAATAAAGAGATACAGTTAGCCATTGAGCTATTCCAGAGACTGTTCTTTTTCAGCTCTATTATGAATACAACTAATTAAGTTCAGTTAATTTATTTGTTATAAGTAAATCATTGTATTTTAGGGAACAGAGAATATAGTTCCCTAAGATTGAAAAAGGAGGATCCTCTGACCGGTCGAGGTGATCGTGCCTGGCGGGCTTTCTGCCCAACAGTTGTTCGTTGGGATTTTCTATCCATGTTAATTTGCATGTAAACTTTGCATGTGTATGTAGGATTTTATGACGTCATCCGTTCACATGTGACATGTGTCGCCACAGTATGACTATCTATGTCTTTGCTAGTAACTGCGACTGACAAGTTTACATTAAGTTCTGATGTTGGGTCAGACTAACTTCGTAACATGATATATTTAATTTCGGTACATGTATGTATAATACGATCGACATAATTATTATAGGTAGCCACTCAAAGCTCTACTCTAGCCACTCAAAGATGTCATCGTTGTAGAATTATTATTAGTCAAGAAAAAATTATCTTACCACACATCCACCTCCAGCCGACAACCCGCAAATCATGTTTGGTACAATTGTCATCTGTGATATTTCTAAATTGCATGTTTCTCTTGGTATCGCAATTACTGGTGATAAAGTTATCAATTGCGCACTTGCCTAAAATAGTAATAAACCGTAAGTCAAAACATTTCTATGTACTTTCAATGTTGCTGCGAAAGAAATACATCTGGACATAATGATTTTATACTATTCTATAGTGGATATACCTACATAAATTTTATTAATTTGCGTATACTTAACAACTTTTTGTTTTAAGGCTCGTACACAAAACTACGATGCGTTGTGATGCGAATTCGCAACGCAAAAAATTACAAAATGAATTGCTGCGATGCGATTTCGTGTAACATGGTATAGTGACCATTCCTTCGACGACCGTCAACCGTACCAAACGTATTTTAAATTGAAAACTAGGTCGTGACATGGATCGTAAAAAGAAGTGTGCACTTCTGTTATTACTTAAGATACCTATATAGGAAAAAGAAACAAAGAAGATTTTGGGAAGATAAGATTTTGATGCGCGATGCGAATCAATTCGCAAGTTCTTGCGATGTGCAGATCGAACTCGCACATTTTTGCAATGCGACATCGCATCGCAGTTTTGTGTACGAGCCATTAGATAAGGTACTCAATACGACTTCTATTAATATTACACAAGTAACAATTTAAGAATTTGCACTGTACAGTATTGTAATGAAACTTACAGAGGATGTTGCATTACGACTTCCAAAACCGGAGGACTCACACGGCTCAGGCAGAGGATAAAGTAATGCACCAGTCGGCATTGGCAAGGGGTTTATTGCTTCCGGGAAAGCAGCTTGTAACTGAAATGTGACATTGACGTTATAGTTACATAGTATATATTTTTGAACACAACTTGTAAAACAATGAATGAATAAAATAATTTCTTACAGTAATAACAGCAATGTCGTTGACAAAAGTCTGCCTGTTATATTCCGGGTGGACAGTTATACTTGCTATGTCGCGAACGTTATCTGCATTATCATTTGTAAGAACTGTCCCAGCGAATACTCTGAAGTTGGTTACGTTGATGAGTTGTCTGTAACAGTCACAATATTTATTTTAGTTACCGACGAAAAGTTTCCGGAGGAAAATAATGTCTTAAGAAGTATCAATGTTCATTAGTTAATCAGACAATTCATTTAAAACATTATTCTTCCTCCACTTTGATAATCGCAGACCCCACGGCACGCTTATAATACCCTAATAGGCGGGAAGGTCTTTGCTGTGAGATAAAACCTGCTCCAACACTCTTGCACCTTTTTATCATCACGGCCCCACAGCAAACCAGCATAAAGCAACGGTTAGGTACATTGTGATTCACCGTGTGACGTACTCACTCGGTGAAGCACCTACCTCGCGCCCTGTTACATATGCATTTATTTTTGGATGGGAGGGCGGTGCTGCATAGCGCATGCTACAAATTCATTCCTGCAGCAAAATAGAAAGTAAAAATATCTGCAGTAGCTAAAATAATACTTACCCATTTTCATTGAGAACGCAAGAAGCAGCTGTCAATGCATTCTGTCGAGTAATTAATACACCTCCACATTTGTGACCTCTTTCGTAGCTTGGTGTTGATTGTTTCTCTTGTAATGATATCTAGAAACAATATCATCAATTAGATTTGTTGAAACACTGTTTCTGCGTGGTTTTACTCACTACTTTCCTCCTATTTATCTTAGCGTGATATTTTATAATCTAGCGTGATATTTCCCCAAAAAATGTAACTATCCAACACAAATATATTTTTTTAAACCAAACCAGTATCTAAGATTAGCAGTAGCACGTTCAATCCAACCATCGAATTGTTCGCATGAGTAACAGTAATTAATAAAATAACATAATGTTGAATACAACTAGACATTTAGTGGAAGAAATGATAAACGAAACAATAGTTAAAATATACTTACCACATAATTAATGTTACTTCTGTATGTTCCTTCTATAATCCTACCAGCTCCTTCAAGTGTGTATGCATTGACACCTGGAAAACAAACTATTTTTCAGAAATATTATACCTATAGGTACATATAATCAAACTGTAGAAGTGTAAATTCTGTACATTGAAAATATAAAAGAAATAAATAGTAGGCAGTGTTAGATAACGGAGCTGCGAAACGCCTGCGGCTCGAAGAGCAGGAGTAGGAACGGGGTTGTTATTATTTAGTAAGAGTCTGATACTCCTTCTCGCCTAACCCAAGGTGGGAGAACCCACCATTGTTATATCATTGTAAGTTCGCTTTCTTAGGACCTTCTTGCGTATGTCACCCACATCTGGAGCGAGGCCATCGAGAAAGACGGGGAGGCGTTAGCCGTATCGCTCGATGTCTCGAAGGCCTTCGACAGGGTCTGGCACGATAGTCTTCTTGGCAAGCTTCCTGCATATGGACTCCCCACAGGTTGGTGCAAATGGATAACAGACTTTCTGAGGGATCGATGGACCCCAGTGGTCATTGATGGCTGCTCATCCGATCAACTTGGTATTATCGCCGGGGTTCCTCAGGGGTCAGTACGCTCAGCAATACTTTTTTGCTGCACATCAATGACCTACTCCAGCCCGGTATCTTTGAGTACGTAGATAACAGTACCGTTGTTGAGAGGTATGTGTCTGACGTGCGAACCAGTGCAACTCAAATCCATTATCTGAGAGAATCCATGGTAAAACGTCTGAACCTGTCCTTGCAGGCGGTTTCCAATTGGGGTGACGCCAACTTTGTCAGGTTCAATGCCAATAAAACTCAGGCGTGTCTATTCTCCGCAAAACGGAGTCAGCTCTCACTAACTCCTACATTTGGGTGTGTCCGTTCCGATGGATGACCGTCTCGAGTTTCTCGGCGTAACTCTGGCGCCCATTATCAGCTTTGGCTCGTATATTGATTCAATGGCGCAACTGGCTGGTAGAAAGTTGGGTGTCCTGTCGAGGGTGAGACGGTACTTCGCGCCGTAGCAGTTGCTCACTCTTTACCAACCACAAGTTCGGTTGTGTTTGGAGTATTGCTCCCATCTTTGGGATGGCTCGGCTAAATACCAGCTGGAAGCCTTTGAATCCATCGAGAGGCATGCCAAGAGGCTCATCAATGACGATTCGCTTGTGGAGGCTCGGCTTCAAAGCTTCGAACACAGGCGCAAAGTCGCAAGCCTTTCGGTCTTCTATCGGATACACTTCGGTGAGTGTGCGTGGGAACTGCACAACCTTATTCCCCCTAGTCCATTTCACCACCGTACCACTAGACGAACGGCTGGGCGCCACCCTTATATGGTGGACATTCCACCCATTCGCACGAACCGCTAAGGAATGGAATTCCTTGCCGGAATCTGTGCTTCTTGTCAAATATGACTTGGGTGTCTTCAAGTCCCAAGTGAACAGGTTGCTCATAGGTAGGCGTGCTCCATTGTCGGCCACATCATCGCTTACCAGGCGATATGGTGGTGGTGTTCAAACGTCGAAGTATAAAAAAAGTATTAGTGGATGATTTTCTTCCTAAAATGGTGTGTTGGATAGACAAACAACCAAAAAATGTGATTAAAGGAATTAACGCTGTACCTGTGGGACCAATATGGTCGAAATTAATTTAAAGAGGTATTATAAGTGCGAAAATATGTGAGTTTGTATGTTTGTTTGTTACACAGTACAAAACGGCTGAAGGGACCGGGATGAAATATAGAACAGAGGTAGATCGTGGTCTGGAGTAAGCCGCTAGCCGATGTTACTAAATATAATGAAACGATGAAAATATTATTTAGAAAAGATATTTTGATCATATTGAAAAGATGGATGTTAAGAGATTTACAATAGAGTTGAACATAGCGAGCTTGCTTAAAGAAGTCTGTAGAAGGCGTCCTAGACAGGCATACTTCGATTTATTGAAAAACAGTTAAAATAGAAGCTCCCTAAATCAACGAACATACATGAAGAGATTGATGAATGTAGATGAAGCGCGAGAGCTATGCCAGAATCGTGTCATTTGGCATTACATTGTCTTGGACTACCCTAATGGAAGGCAGGCATGATGATACATATGTATATACTAGCTACTGTCGCGTGGTTTAGTATTACTCGCATGGTAATGTTTCATAGCATACAGCCTTCCTCAATTAATGGACTGTCCAAAATAAAACGAATTATTCAAATCAGACCAGTAGGTCTGGAGATTAGTGCGATTAAATAAACAAATAATACATAATTATTGGTGCATCACACGATACACTTGTGGTTCACCCACTGCTTCTACATTGTACTCAAAATTATATAACAGTTTATTTTCATTAACTATTTTTATGAAATGTATACAATATTGATACTTAATATTTATATTTACACGAACACACGTACACACAATTTGTCGAAATAAGTTCGTATATGAAATATATAAAGATTGCCACAGTCTGAATAAAGATACCTAAATACTCACTATAAACAGCAATCACAAACAATAAAAATAATTTATTCATTTTGCTTTATGGTATTCTGACACTACATATGTTAAATAATATACTGCTTTATTAATAGCACATTTATATATATGCATCCATATATATTGGTATAATCTTATCAAGAATAGATACGTAGGTAATTAACAATTTAATACCATAATGACCTGAGAAAATTAGGGTTCAACAATAAGAAATGTAAGATAGTCAGTAAAAAAATCTGAAAACATCGTTATTTTGATAAAACAGTTACCTCAAAACCATGTCGTATATCGTAAGGCGTCCGCGTCTACTGAAATGATTCAACAAAGAAAAAAGATATTTAACATAATTATTTATTTCAATTATATAATTTCCTATGGTTTTTGTAACGTTTGCGTGAGTATAAGTGTAGTGTACCTAATATATCAAAATTCTATTGTATATTGTAGTATTATTTTATTTCGGCATTGTTATAATATATGTGTATTTATTACTAATAGGCATTTATCACACATATTATAACATAATAT